TCCCCAACATGCCAGGCAAGGGCCCCCTTTTATGAGCAGGAGGAGAGCCCCATTTGCATGGAGTCTGCATATAAGGTGCAGCTGGGACCCTGGGCTGCATGCCTGACCTTGTCATCCTAGTGGCGACCCCAGATGGGAAAGGACTCAAGGACGCTGGCCTCAAGGGGTCCCGTCCTGACCCCCCCTCCCTCCCTCTTTTCCTGAGACTCATCACTCTGACCTCATTCCTTTGGTGGCAGATTTCAGGATTGAGAGTCCTCCTTCCTGGGGTTTTGATGAAGACCCAGGGGTGCTCCTCCACAGGCACGTGGATGGGACTTTCTCTCTCTCTTCTTCACCTGCCGTGGGCCACGTTGCCTTTCTGAGGTTTGGGAATAAGAATTTGCATTGGATGATGCTTTTATTTTGATATGGAAAGATTCTCCTTGTTATTTTCCTCAACCAGATCCTCCACAAAACTCGAACCTCTACATGTGAGGAGGCAGGAGAGGCTGGGCTGGACGCTGTGGCCGCACCCTCCGTCTCAAACCTGCTGCCACTCTCACAAGTTCGCAGCTTCCTCCTGAAACCACACATTTCACTCAACTCCCCTGTTTTGTGTGTGCAAAAGCCCTGTTTTAAGCCTCTCAACGTGGGAGAATTTCCATCATTTAAAAATGGATCCCTTATGGGTTGTGGGGGCTGGCGGGCTGACTGAGGTTAATGGGGGAAAAAGTGGACATATGTGATATTTTCAACAATAAAAAATTATTAAATACTAGAGGCCCGGTGCATGAAATTTTGCACAGGGGGTGGGGGTGTCCCTCAGCCCAGCCTGCACTCTCTCAAATCCTGTACCCCTTGGGTGATGCCCGACTCCTGGTTTAGGCTAGATCCCAGGGATTGGGCCTAAACAGACAGTCAGACTTTCCTCTCACAATCCTGGACTGCTGGATACTAACTGCTCACCTGCCTGTCTGCCTGGTCTGCCCTAATGCCTCCTCACCGCCCGACCCCCCCCGCCCCTCTGGGCCGATCACCCC